TATATATATATATATATAAAAAAAAAATACGGATTTGCAAGCACAGTTTAATAAACAAAGAAAAGCCATAGTTCTAATAATTATCTAGCGCGCATCAATCGATAATTTCGATATGAATAGCAATTCTTTCTCCCCGCTGTGAGATGAGAAGAGAAACTCCCTAACAGACAGTTCGGTTGATTAACACAAAACGAATCACGTCGCTGCGACAAGAATCGGGATGCAAAGAAATGACAGAGAAAAACCAAACGTGCTAACAATCGCGGATTATTCGTTAGAAAGCTGGCCGATGCAAGTAATGAAACCGCGTTACAGTGGAGAGAGAATCCAGAGGGACGCGGAACTCAACGTATGACAAGAGTGATCGAGCAGCCAGCACCACGGTTGTCCTGAATGCTTGTGGCACATCCTCGAGATTAAGGCGAGGATTTTCCTCATCCTCCCACGGATACTTCCATGGTGCTCCGGAGGGAGTACCGACTAGGGTGAGAAACTGGCGACCGAATACCATGTCGGGGGCAAGAAAGTGGGTCGTCAGATTTTGACTGACGAGGGGATCGGTGAGGGGTCACCAGAGCTTATCTTTAATCGTTTCACCAGCCAAGGCGAGAAATACGTTGGCAAATCGTCCGAGACGGCCTTTCCATGCGAAAGAGAATAATAGATGCCGATGGGTGGACATCTCGCGTTGCAATTTCTAGATTCCAGATCGCCGCTGTATCGATGAGATATGAGGGCCAGTCACGCGACCGCAGTCCCCCGTCTTTTATAATATTTTTTGATCGATTGAAAGATGATGGCGAAGCAAGTTCACTGACGTGGAAACACCTTGGGGATCCCCCCTGGATCTTTACGTGTGCCCTTCATTTTCTCGAATCGTAATGTTTCGAAATCGCCGAGTTTGTGAAATTTCCGATGAATCGTCGTGGAATTCACTTTTTTTTTTTTTTTTAGAGCATTCTCTTCTTTTATTAAATTAAAAATCAAAGTTACTCGTAACGGACCATTCTTTTTTTTTTTTAAGTTTTTCTCACTTTTAGAGTAATTTTCAGTTTGAAATGTATAGTTTCTTTGTTAACATTTTCACGATGAATAATCTTAAAAGCTCACTATTGTTTCATATGAAACATATAGATAATTAACTACGAAAAGATGTTTCCAGAAAAATTTATTAATTTGCATTTTTGTGTTTTGAATAATAAAATCACGCGAAGGAGATTTTTTTTTACGGAGAATATTTTCACATTCATGAGAATTTAAAAGACTCGTACCATATAAAAATAAGAAAGAAAGGTTTTTTACTGACATAAAGCTTTTAATTAAATGGCATGAAATTTGCGTCATAAAAGCATGATGACACAATATAATGATAACACATGTGCACGAAATTTAAAAGAGATGGCATATACATACATACAACTGGCAACAATACGAATATTATAAAATGAAAGGATTTGAAAAGAAGAAAAATTTCAAACAATATAAAACATTGTAATTTATACGTACAAGTTGCTTCACAATTACATCAATCCCGTTAATTTGTTACTTAAAAATTTTAATTATTTTAAATTAATTTCAAGTGTATAATCTTAATTCTTCGAATTAACAAATACACGATTTAAGTAGCTCAATTACTTGTTTCGGAACGCAGTTTGTTGTACGAGCACTTAGTGAAGCCTTAAATCGATCGATTTAACCTAATTATCCACACGAGCAAGATCTAAATTCTGTTCTATAGAAGTCTGTGTGTTAGGCGCGTATACTGAAACTTTGGCCAAAAATTTTTACTGCATTTGTATTTCTCGGACAAAGGAGTACAAAATTGTTACTTTATGACACTTCAACTTAAAATGCAGCAATAAATTCAAATGTTACATTTTTTTTTGAT